TTGAGGTATTTATAGAGCATCTGTTTGACTAACCATCTGTGCTCTGATTGAAGTATACACATGGTCCAGACTGAATCAAAACCAATTCTGTGGATTAAAATAGTAACTTTGACAGTGTTACATCTAAAGACTTTACTGTTAGTGACTCTTGACCTATTTACATGTAAAGGTAATTTTTAAAACTGTAAAATCTGAAAGGTAGCATAAGGAAGAGCGTGACTAGTGTGCCTACTTCAAAAGGCTTTGGGCTTTGAAGTGAAGAGATGCTGCTTGAATGCTGCATGCCTTTCCAAAAAGCTGTTTGCTTAGGGTCTGGATTAAGCTAGCTGCCTCCCTGTTTTTGAGTTGCTTTTGGGTGTCTTTGTGAATGCAAAATCAAGAACATGCTGAAGAATTCTGCCCAGCTCTTGCTTGTGTCATAGTTCTATTTTGAAATACAGCTTTTGGTGGTAGTAGCATTCAGTACAAACCTTAGCAAAGCATTAGAAATGTAGCCAACTATACTTAGTGTTAATGGCACTGAGAAACCTCAAAGTGTTCAGTTTGCTTACTTCAACAAGATTATCTTTTCCATGGATCAGTATGTTTTGTGTGTTCAAAATGCTGAGATGAAAGATCACAATGAAAAGCTCAAAGCTGTTAAAAAATATGTAATGGTCACTCACTGTTTATTGAACTTGCTCCTTAGAAACAATTATTAGCAGCAAGGTTTTTTTAAGCAGGTTATGCTTTTCAAGATAGTACAAAAGTGAAGTTTCTGATATTATTTCACAAGATTATTTTTCTTCAGTGATAACCTGGGGAATTCTTTAATTTACCTCTTCTTGGTGATGTAGCACCATCTGCCACATCTGCAAAAAAGGTAATTATTTTTAGAAGCATCTGTGGGGTTTTTTTTATTAAGTATTGAGTCATCGAGGTCAGTATTCTTGAATTATTCAATGTAGGAAAATGGAAGCATTTGTTTTGCATTTTGGTAAATAACAAAGAATGGATTTTTATTACTGTTGGTGCAGCAATTTGTTGCAGGCTTCTGATTTCCAATAAATTTGTTTGCATCCTTTGTGAGAGCATTTAGCTTCGTAGGAAAAAGAACCAATCACAATTCTGATATCGGTAAAACAGCATCTGGTGGCAAATAAGTGACTCTGGAAACTGTTCTATTAATGGAGATATTATAGTGAAAACTGCATACTTCTCAACACTGAGCCATTGGTCCAGGTTTCCAGTTTCAGATTGGAAATTGTAAATTAGGATCTCTGCCACCAAAGGAGAAATCATTCTCTCACAGGATACAGAACATTTTAGTAGATATTACAGACTTGCACCCTCTACTAAACACTATACTGTCTGAAGTCTCAAGATCAGCCATCCTTTGACAGATTCCTTATTAAGTCTGTGGCCTTCCACAATAGCTTTACATCAGATAGGGACATCTAAGTCAGATGAGCATTCTCCATCAAGCCTAGCAAAGGTGAGAATTAAGACCTGAAGCTTTCAATAGCTTGCTTTATCTTGTAGTGAAAAGGTGCTTACCTGTGCCAGATGCCTTGGAAGACTTGTGCTTTATGTAAACTCCTGGTGTGCTGAAGTAATGAGTATAGTATGTGAATGCAGAGTTATCATTTGATGATGACGTGACAACATCTCTGCAGCAGTTTCTTTCAGCTTTCTGCTGTTGAGAAACTAACAGGCAATTTCTCAAAGAGAGAATAGTTTTTCTCTGGGGAGCTGATGAAAATTGGGTTTATTTTACTTTACTACAGTCTGAGTGGTCTGAGGAGAATCTCTTAAGAATTAAATCACATGTATGTTGAAAATTAAAGCTGAGAGAGGACCGTATTGGATAAAGAAAAAGAAACTTTGATCAAATTGACTGTTGAAATAATTGAAAAAGAGATGTTGGAAAGCCAAGCCTGAGTTCTGTGCTGAATGAAAGACCCATGACACAATCCATTGTGCTGCAATTGCTTGGGTTATGCAAGATATAAGTGTATGACACTGGATGGCCAAACTGAAGGAACTCAGCTATATGCTCTTTTACATCAGTTAGTATGTACTGCTGCATGTTTGCTTCAATGATACCTAGAAGGTGTTCATTTAACTATCAGCAGAGGCTGATGAGTGTGCGTAGTCTAAGACTATTTGCAAATATAACTCATAATTTTGCATTTCTCTGTTAAAATTATTTCAATCTGTGAACCCTGACTGTGTGAACAGCTTTGCAAACAGAGCCTGGAAATCATAGCACCAGCATAGCCTTAGATTTGAACTGCAACGCAGCACAAGAATAAAGATTTAAATCTTTACCTCTGCAGTTACAGCACAGGAAAGTTGAATCTTTAGACAAAAAAAAAAAAAAAAAAAAAAAAAAAAAAAAAAAAAAAAAAAAAAAAAAGCTATGGAAGTGCTACAGTTACTCCTGACTGTGATGTCCCTTTTCCTGGGATACAGAGTTGTTGGTTTTACCTGTGCACTGATCAGTCAGTTCCTCATGAGATATATTTCCCAGGATTGGGATAGCTGACGAGAATTTGGGCTTACCAGATTTCAGTAATTTCAAAGGCAGTTACTCTTTCCGGTCAGAACTTAAGTCTGAGAGAAGCCTCATCTAGAACTTCTACATTTATTCTACATTTATTTTACTCATCACATACCCTTAATAAACTTTGCCATATTTGCAAATGAAAAGTGCTGTTTTGGAAAGGACACAGATTTTCAGATGCTACAGATGTTTGCTTTCCACATGATTGGGAAGTCTCCTTAATTGCTGTATGGAAGATGTAATGCATTACTCCTTACTAGAGCATGATCCAGAGAAGCACAATTTGTCAGTACTCCAGAACATGACTCCTTAACTATTTTCTAGCAGTGCTTTAATGTACTATTCTATCTGTACTGTTTAATTAAGGTCCGAAAGGGCTCTCAGTTAGTGGCCACACTGCCATCTTTTTTGCTTTTAGACTCAGTGACACTTTTGGCACTGTGAGTTCACTTACCTGCACACAGCATGATAGAAAGCCAGCATTCACTGTCAGTATGCCAAGTCCCTGCAGGGCAAAGCAGTAGCAAAGCCACTCAGTCTATCTCATTGAAGAGCGTGAGAAAACAATGAGCCTTGTTCTTCAACCTGCAGGTCAGACTTGATTTGTAATTTACTATTAGATTGCATGAGGGATGCATCTTATAAAAAGAGGCAGTGACAGCTTCTGCTGGGAGTACTGGGCAGAGTACAAAGACTGCAGCTAGTCTGATTGTGGGGTTGTGAAGGAGGGTACTTCACATATGCAGTATTTGACCCTTGAATATCAGATTCTTATTTTTGATTAAGATATAAAACCATAATGATTTTGTATTTTTAATGTCCCTCATTCTTCTAATGGATGGTAAGGCTTATGAAGTGCTAGTTTGCTTTTTCAAATACCAGATAAATTATCTACATAATCTGAGCAATAGAGAAGTATCTTGTAAACAGTCAGGATTCCCACTTCTAGATATAATGACACTGGTGTCTTAGAGTGTGTTATGGGATAATGCACTTTTCAAGTAAAGTCAGTTAACATTCTCATCTCATTTATACATCTGTATTCCATCCTCCCATGCAATTCATGAATCTCCCCATTAATTAGCAATAAATAAGTACTGATTTTTGTATTTTTCATTCACAGTCCTAATTCCAGAACATTTTTGATTTTTGGTTGTTGATGTTTTTAACAACTTGGAGTAACTATGGAATAGCACTTCATATATTGCCAATATCCTTGTTGACAAGGCTAATTACTTAGGGAGTCAGAAGATCTATATCTGGTCCTAAACAGTCTCAAGTAAAATGTTTGTGAATGTTTGAGAGAAAAGTAGCCTTGTTGATATTTGACTGCGGATTTGGAGAAAAAGCTGAATGTAGCCTCCTAACACAGTGGTTTAAGCTTCAGCAAAGATGACTTAGGAAAATTTATTTTAGTTTTTATTTGAGCAAACTAGGTAATTGCGCCTGGTCTGTTATCCTGTCAGTACTGACGAGAGATTATTAGTTAAGCCTTGGTAACCTGGTTGCCTGTTAGGGTCTGTCTGCATGTGTTCTGTATCCTCTCATAGATAGTCAGCAGTAAATTAAAAGCACTCTAGAGGCACAGTTTGGAAAGCAGAACTTGATGGTGTTGAATACCCTTTTCCTAGTAAATTTTGGGAGAAAGAGACTTTTAGCACTGTGAGATCTTTAATAGCTATCATATTATGTCTGGAGAGAGAAATTCCACTAAGGTTGTGGCAATTCTGTTATTGTATAGAGGGAGATCTTGCAAGATTGGCCAGTAAAGTGTGAGGGGTGGTACCAATTGTGAATGCAAATGATTTGGCTGCGAGAGCTTATTGTTATGGTTATGTCTATCAGTCAAGACAATCCCAAAGTAAACAGGGGCGTGCTGTGTACAGCTGACTCACAACACAGCCTATATGCACGACTTACCTTTGCTCTGTACCTACCATATAGCAAACTATTCACCCTGGATTATACAATTCAACCACTTCTACTGTGATTTCTTATATTTTAATCACTACCTGTAACTTCTTCTATCCAGGCAGGTAAAACTGAGGATAAACTGCAGCAAATACTTCTTTTTGTAATGTCTACCAAGGTGAATGAATGTAGCCAATATTCTACTTGCTCTTTCAAGCTGCTTGTTTATGAAAATAAGTTAGTGCCATGCTTTACAGTACCATTCAAAACAGACAAACGTGATTAAAGGCAGCTATGTGCTGTCCTCTATTCTTCAAAAGGCATTGGTCATATTCATATAATGTAGTTCAAGAGAGTCTTCCAAAAGTAAAAATTAAGGTCATAAATAGAATTTTAATGTCATTAATGAGGCTATAGAAAACTTCTTGTAAATTAATTATTTCTCGTTAGTTAACTGTATTTTTTGTATAATTTGAGTTATATATGTAACTGAGTCACTGAAAAGATTTTTGGAGGTTTCTTTTCTATGTTTTTTGTTCTTCAGCAACTTTGAATCTCCACTGATGCAAGAAGTCCCAGAGCACCAAGGCAACAGCACAGATAGTTCGGGAAGCAGTTTGGGAAGCACTGTCACAGCATGTAAAAAGGTAACTTCCAAGTTTATTTTATTTTCAAAAGCATATATATCCTGGGTTATAGCTTTGCTTTCTAGCTTTTATTTTTATGAGGAACACAGTGTTTAACTGATACCTAAAGAGGAAAAGGATTGATACAGAAAAATAAATTTTGGACACTGTAATGGTATATTGCAATTTTGTGTGCATGGTCTATACTTGTCTGGCTACAAAATATATGTGTGTGGGAGGTACATTTCCCCTAAGTATTTCTCATTTTTCTCGTTATCTGGCAAAGTATAAAAACCATAAAGAGCACAAATAAATTCAGGACTGCTCTCTGATAGCTTGCAAGTTTCAGGAACCCAGCCTGAGGGTCCAGAGCTTAGCTTCTCTGGAGGTTTATATGATATAGGGTCCTTCACGTAAAGAGCTTTTCTGCCTTCCCTAATATCTTAGTAGAGGATTTCAGCAACCAAGGAAGTAGTACAGATTTGACTGTTGCTGTTTTTATTGCCTCAAAATGGATTTATTTGAGTTATTTACTTTAGAGCATGGGGAGGAAAGGAAGCAGTGCCTGTATGTGTCTGTATGTATTTAGGATTAGTCAGGTATGACTGACAGTAGTTTATTAATGTAGGTAGTACAACTGAGAATACGCAAAGGAAGTCTCTGGATGCCTTCATCCACTCTCAGGGCCAGATTATGGCAGTGCAGTCCAAGGGAAGGCCATCTTTTATCTCTCAATTTGCAGTAACCATCTGAGCTCGACTATTTCCCATAGGCATTATTCTAGAGCTGGTAAGAAAGCATCTGTTTACGACAAAATATTATAAAACTTCACAGTTCATTCAGTTTTCCCACAATTCTATTTTTTTCTTCCTTCACTACTAATTGTAATGCTTTTCTTTTGTGCTTTTTATTTTCCAAAATAAATAACAATGTAAATATGTAAATAGACAGATGAACATGATGAAGATAAAGATTTATTTTCCTTATCCTTTCCTTTCCTTCTGAAAACTACACCATGACTCTCTGGGTTGAGTGTTGGCTGTCTACTGAAATTTCAATAAATGTAAAATCATTGAAATTAAAAAACCTCAATAGACTAATTTGTGTGCTGGAATTGGGCATCTCTTACTCATGCCAGCAAGGCAAAAGACAAAACAGTAGTATTTCATTTGTTCAAAGAGTTTGCTTATTTTCAAAAAAATATATGATTTTTAAAAAATGCTGCTGACTGTAATTGGAATCTGTAGAAATGGGCATAAAATTCATAATGTTGCTGAAAATCTTACATTTCTTTAATGTGAGTTGGCTGTTTTATGTAAGACTGAAGGACAGTGGCACAGCACTAAAAAGTGTCACCACTGAGTTCATGAATGTTCTCAGCATGGTCACCTTCAGAAGCATCACTCCTCCAGACCTACTTTTAGCTTTTGATTTAGAGCTGCTTCATCTGTCTGATCTCTTACATTTGAACTTTTCATTATAATACAAGTCAATTTTATGATGTTAGACACACTAGAAGAAGTGATTCACCTCTGCCAGCACTTCTGACAAACAGCAGGATATTTTGGGCTTCTTTGCAGCTTTGTCACAGTATGAGTTACTGTTCTGTGTGTGTGTGTGTGTGTGTGTGTGTGAGAGAGAGAGAGAGAGAGAGAGGAAAAGGATGCAGAATAATCAAAGTAAGCCGTTATCTTTTCTTTTATCCTACATTAGTTACAGTAGTTTTTTAAGTTAGCTATGTAATTGGTGTTGGAGTGAAACTGTGAGTTCCTCCTGCAAGGGAACAGTTTAAATGATTCACTTGCAGGTTTGAGTATTTTCACTTGGTATGAATGAGAATGGTTCCTTTCAGGAACCATATGAGATGTGGTCTTTTACCACAAAGACCAATCTGAACAAATGCAGAAGATGTGCCCCGTGATAGTTCATCTTATTCTGTATGTCCCACTTTCATATCTTTTTTGATGAGTAGTAATTAACTAAAGCAATTAAGATGATCAGTCACGAAGACGCAGATGTTTCATTTGTGGAGCAGAGCCTATTTAATGTTGTCACAGTTTGAGATATTTAGTGTATTTTAATGTCTTATGATCTAAATTAGGGAGCAGGAAGCTGTTACGCTAAACTTGTATCCAGTATTTTCCTCTGGGAAAGAGTGACTTTTCTAATCTACACACTGCTAGAGGCTGATTTTAGTTCATTGATTCACAACACACTGAGTAATGCTGACGGCTGAGTCTCTAGATGAGAGTGGAAAACTTTTTTTTTAGAACCATGAATTACTGCTGATTCCACATTTCATGCATGATGCAAATTCATCCTGAATTATTTTCTGAGTGCAGTGATCCTGCTCTGAACCAGACATACAGCAGTATAGTGCATGCATAAGTTAAACATAAGTGTGGTCAGTGAATAAAGTTCTGCTTTCACTTGTACCACTGCAAATCAGAAGCAACCTCACTGAATTCAGCAAATCCATGTATGCCAGCTTGAATTAGCCTAGAACTTGTCTCAGCCAGGTGACAGTGAAGAAAACTACAAGATGTGAGGAGAAAATTTTCTTTGTATTAGACGTGCAGGCTGTATAAAAGAAAGATGGTAAATGACCACTGGAGTAGTGCAAGTTTTAGGTTTCTTATCTTTGTTACAGAGCTGCTCAGTATAGTTACCTGATAGTTACCTATAGTTACCTAATTGCAAAAATGGCAGTCAGAAAGTATGGGAACAGTTATATCTCTGAGAGATAACTGCTCACACTGAATTTCATTAGTAACCCAATAGATTAGGCAAGCTCACTCAAGCTTATACACAGTTGACCATTGCAGTCATACATTACTGTAGTATAAGGACTTCAGTGTATTTCTTAAAAGCGTGAATATTCATACAAGTTTGAACACATCTGCATACTCCCATTTTACATAAACACAGTTAATAAGTAGAATTGTCCTACAATAGTCAGATCTTAGAAGTATTAAATTCATTTTGCCTATACTTGTTTGTCTTTGACCATGATAATATTGCTGTCTACTACCAAAGAAGCATGCCCAAAAGTTCACATGGATTCAATTTATGGACTTATTGCATAACAGGAATGCATAAACTTACAGTGATCTGCATTGCACAGTGGCCCAAATTATCCTTCCTCATTAGAAATGTCAGTGGGAAAGTTCTGAGAAATAACATATCTGTAATGATCATAATGCAGAAACTTGTATTTCATAAGATAGAGCTTAAACTCATCCAAAACATACATCTCATCCGAGCCACTACTTAGTCAAATGTCACCTTCTGTCCTCAGAACACTACTCAGATGTGTGTAAAATCGGAGCAAGAAGTCCCCATCCATATGCTTCCACACGCCTCCCTTTCTCACAGTGCTGTCTTTTCTGAGAAATTTCCAGAGGCATTCCAGATGACTTTGGGCCTACTTGTATTTGTTAGATTGCTGACCTCCCCCACATCCTGTTGCATGGGCTGGAGTTCATCCTATTTTGCTTTTCTCACCTATCTCCTTCACATTCTAATTGCTGAAAATGGTCTTCTCAGACCCTCAGTAGTAAAAATGCCATTGCATCCTTCTTCACATTTCTGGCTGCATTTTCCAAGTATGTATCCAGCACTGCTTGTGCACATATGAAAGCAGAATATAGGCTAGGGAGAACACCATTCTGCTAATGCTGCTCATCTCTTCAAGGTTACTAAAAATCACTTGCCATAGCTTCCATGTAATAATCTCTACCCTTGACTTAAAGTATATTATGAAAAGTTGCATACAAAAATTAAATGCATTGAAAAGCCTTGAAATTAATAAATAACCCTGGAGTAACCCTCAAGCTTGACAGCAGAGACCTGACCTGAAACATTTGTTCCAGAGAGTTATTACTTCTGATAGTGCATTACCAGTATTTGCTTCCTGAATGGAAGATAGATGTGCCAATGGTGATTTAACATCCACAGGAAGAAAACTAGGTGAAATTTGGAATGCCTATCTCATTTCATTAATTAATCACCTACAATATACATCTGCTATAATCTAGAAGTTCTGAAGAGAAATATTGGTTGAGCACACCAAGAGCTTTGAGAAAAAGGAGTAGCAAGTTTTCCTGAAGCCTGTTTCTGTGTCTAATTTCTGCCTATTCCAGTTTCTCAGAAATTGTTTGAGATTTGGTAAAGAAAGGTCTGAAGCTGTTAAGACTAAAGACAAATTCACTAAGATTTTTTAAGGAAATAAGACAAAATTTTTACTGAGAAAGCTATTTCAGTTAAAGAGGACTATTTTCTATGTACTCAAATCATGACTAAGAGGACATTAGAACTTCAGTCCTTGAGGATGAGAAGATCTAGAATCAGATGAAATCTGAGATCAGATATATATGTGTATGTAGGTATATGTATATGATGGAATTCTTTTTCTTCATAAGATTTCTAAAGATGGTACTAATATTTTTGGAAAAAATATGCGATGCAATATTTTACCAACCAGTTTATAATGTTTCAGTAGCATTTCTTTATTAAAAAAAAAAAAAAAAAGCTCACAGTTTATAAAGCTAGAAGGAAACTGTTTCTCTGCTATATGATGTATGCTGTTTTTCCCATCTAGACTCAGAATTAGTTACGGTGGCATGCATCTATTCATACTAAGACAGTATGCTATAAAATGTATTGAGTTCAGAGTCATTGAACTAGTTAGCTAGCAGTCCCCAAGAAGAAACTGGTGTAGATGTGAAGCAGTCACAAGTCTTTCTCAGAATAAAGTCTGTGGACACAGTAGTTTTTCCATATTTTGTCAACCCTAAATTTGTTTTCAGAAGAAATCTCATAGCAGAGCTAGGTTTTGCATGTCAACCTACCCTTTTACAGAAAAAAATAAATAAATAACCATAAAGTTGCAAAATCTTTGTAGAGGGCACTGGAGGAAGGTGCCAAAACAAGGCCAAATGTATGGGCTCTAGTGTTACTTATCATTCATCCTACAGGGAGTGCAGTATTAACTATATGACTTTCTGACAAGAAGTTAAAAATTAGAGTGGGTGTTGGTCTCTGTGTGGTAATAAGCTTACTTCTGGATTGCTCCTGAGTATTAGAAAATTGTGTTAGCTGGCCAGATCAGCTTTCCATACTCATTCATCTTCCCTGAGAAATGAAGAGGCCTGACAAGTTCTTCTCACTTCATAAGGAATTGATCTAGGCTTAGAAAGTAAGCGTTCCTGAAGTAGGACAGAAACGTCAATGTAAATTATGCAGTAAGATAATTAAAAATACTATGGATAGATTTTTTTTTCCAGGTAGGACAACAAAGGTATATTTTGAAATATTATTAAAGTAAAAGTATAAAAGCTATAGTACAGCCTTTTTCCACAGTTGCTAGAAGTACAAAGAAAATATATATCCATTTCACAAACATGCTTCTTAACATTTTTGCCAGGAATTATAAGCCATATAAATTGGTCTGTGAGTATCATTGCTGTTGCTGCTATTATTTCCTGATGATAATTAGTTGTTTCAAAAATAATAAGAGTTCCTCTTTTTCATGGAAGAATTGTGAAGGATGAGAAAAAATATACCAAATAGCCTGTGGATTAATTTATCCAGACAGACCCATTCTCTTTTGCTTTAGAATGTCCCATTACCTGAAATACATGCTTTAAGCTGAATTCATAGAAGAGATGCATCAGCTAGGCTGATAGGCTTTTTGTACAGTTAGAAAGCACAGCCCCTCCAGGAGGTCAGCATACATTTCTGTTGGCTAAGAAGATTCCTCAAGTTGTCCGTGTGAATAACTCCCCTTCCCACGCTTCACCATCCTCAACTATTTGTCCTTTGTACTCTATTAAACAGAAAATGAATGCATGGAAAGAAACAACTTTTCAATTTTAACACAGTCTTGTCAGCCTAGGAATTCAACCCCTAGACCATCTGTGCCTCTCAGTTCCACTTTCATCCTTGATGGAAATTAGGATAAATTGGCCTAGCCTTCACTCTCTCAATGAAAGGGCAAACAAGAACAAGTGATTCTCAGTGTTGTCATCTGTATCTTATGCTTGTCATGGATCTTTCTATAGTGACCCTATAAATGTAATAAAGTACAAGCCTGCCTGTTTAATGATATGTCTCTTCAGTCCCAACAAATTGTACAGTCAGACTCTGGCTGTGTTGCTGGTTATGTCTGGGCACAATCAGTCCAGATCCATGAGTCACTTCCAGACTTACTGGTATTTCAAAGAAATCTGATGCTATGCCCAAAAAAGACAGTCCTTCTGAGTGCAACTTTCTGCAGACATATTTCAATAGCATATTGGAGGCCTGTTTATTAAAAAGGCAATTTGACCCACCTGAAAACTGTGCATAGTTAGTACGGGGGCAGCAAGGAATTTACTTTGATCTGAACTATCAGCCTTGCAAAACTGACTTTGCCTCTTTATAATCTGCAAATATCTCTTTATTTTTCTTCAAGCAAAGCTTGTGGCATGTGCTATAAGACTAAGTCAACACAGAGACTGAACTCTCTCTATGAAAAAGCCTTAGTCGAAGGGTACTGACTGACTTCAGTATTCTTCACAAAAAGTTTCAAGTGCTTTAGCTTCTCAAAAAGCAGAAAAATATTTTTAAGAAGAAAGCGATGGTAGCCTAGGCAGTCTCAGAAGTGAGGTTGCTAACAGAATGAATTGTACAGATCTATTTTAGACAGATAGACACAGTAAATCATAAAGGCTGCAAGTTTGTATACCATGATACAAATAAATGATTAGTTTTCCCAAAGTCTATGTTTATCACTTTAACATAGAACAAAATTCCTAGCACTATTTTCCAATAACAATGTTTTATTTGTTGGGGTTATCTAAGGCACCTCCTTCAAGGACTTTCAGTTCTTAGAGAAAACTGTCTAATACTTCAGGGGATATATGTCACTTGAATCCCAGGTACATTAACTGTATAAGTCTAAAGGAAATGAGAATCCCAAGTCTTGCCTTCCATAAATATATTTAGGCAAGATTTTTGTTGAGAGCCAACAACAGAGTTCAGGCACGGTAGGACTGAGTAAATTTTAAATTATTTTAACTATTTTTAACTATTTTAACAGATCCTCTGCAGTAATAGCCTGCTAGAATCAACAGACTACTGGCTGCAGAATCAGAGGACACCATGCCAAATTGGCTTTCTGGAAGACAAGTCAGAAAGCAACTGTGCCTCAGTAAGTACACAATGTAATCTCCTCTGGAGAAATGTCCATTAAGAGCTATTTGAGCAGGCTGTGGGGGCGTCTAGCATACATGTTAAAAGAAGTCAGTGACTAACCGACTCCAAAATTATGTCAATGTATTGATAGTTTCTGTGATTTCCAGCTTTCTGCTAAAAGCAAATATCCAAAGCAAAAAATGCATACAGATTTCTATACAGAATACATTAATAAAGATTGCTTCAGAAGTTTCCCCGTATTTTCCTTATGCATTGTAATCAGCAACTAAAAACAGAAAAATAAGCTAAAGAGTAAATCATTGCAAACTGTAACTTGTTAATGGAAAGGTTGGGAGGAACAGATGCTTAAAAGGCTGCTGAGTGTTCTTGAAGACATAGAGATACAATTAAGGAGAAAACTCTTTCCATATTTGATGAGTAGAAGCTGCTAAAGAACTCAATTTTGCATTTGAAATGAAATTTAAATCTCCATGTATTGTGGTTTATAATGCAATTAAATTCAGAACAGCTTTTGGTTAAGCTTGTATTTAGAAAAATAAGAGTTGCGTTTCTTCACACGCCATCTTTACGAAGCTAAATGACATTACATTGCTGTGACTTTAATAGTGTTTTATTCAAGAAAGGACTCGGGAAAGCAGAACATTACCAGAAAGAATTACTTAGAAAATGTTTTTTTTTTTAGAGATTTCAGGAGTTGTATTAAAAAGGTGAGAGGGCTAAATGTCATGCTACTCATTGGACTATGAGTTCCCAAAAGATACAGGGATCAAAATGTACAACTTAAGTAGTGTGTGATGGTAAGCAACCACATAACATACAAGGTGAGAAACTGAGCAGATTCCTGTGTCTCTGCTTCGGATGATGCTGGGTGAAACAAGGAAGAAGATATTTGTCTTTGTTTCAGCTCAGAGGGAATTGTTTACTTCGGAGTGTCTGGTGTGATGTTATATTTTGGTTCTGGGAGAAAAATGAAGTTGATACCACACCAATGTTTATAGTTGCCTGCTAAGCCAACGCCATTTGTAGTGAAGGGCCCAAGGAGCTGGAAAGGAATGGAATTAGGACAGCTGACTTAAGCTGGTCAAAGTGATATTCCATACTGTGTGACATCAAGTGGAAGGAGTTTTGAAGGAGGTGAGAGTTCATCTCTCACTCTCTTCAGGTACTCAGGGAGCTAGCTGGGCATCGGTCAGGGAATGGTGAGTAACTACTTCTGCATCATGTGTTGCAAACGTTTATATACATATATAAAGTCATAACTATTTTTATTTTCCTTTTCTCTATCTTAGTAAATAGTTTTATCTCAACCCATAAGTTCTATTTTGCTTTTTTTAAATTCTCTCCCTCACTGCACTGGGAAGGAGTGGAGTGGGCAAACACTGGTGTGGTGCTGAGCCACCCATTGGGTTAAAACACTACAATATTAATAAGCAGTGTTTAGTGGTACTGATTTCTAAAACTCCCAGAAATCAGACAGTGCAGTTTTCTGTTCTTCTGCATGTAATCTCCCAAAGAGAGATGTCACAATATTCGAAAGTATACAACATTGTTCAATCACAGCTGGAAAGCTATGATTTGAGCAGTACCCTGAATATATTCATGACCAGAACAAGATAATCAGGCAGGTAATCAGGATTGCTTTTAATGCAAAAGGAATTTACCATAGTCTCTTGGTTTTACTATTCTGTATTTCATTCTGACAGCCTCTTTTCTTATTTGAGAGGATAACCAAGATATGCTTTGAGACAAGATCTGCCATGTTATCTTCTCCTATTGCCTGCTCGCTCCTTGCATAGTGCGCTCAGAAAACAGCCAGATTTCCCTGTGCAGCTTTGTGAACACAGTGCCTACTCTACATGCACATTCACACACACAGTGTTCTGTAATTTTCAGAGCGAGATTTTAGTACCTAGTTCATTCTGCAATTATTGCTAATATTACTACAGTAGAAAAAAAGATTGTGCTGAAATAGAGATTGTACTGAACTACATGACTTTGTATTCACAAGGCAGAAATAGAATTTACAATTTTAAGGTAAAACTGAAACATCATGCATAGAGAGCATTCATTTAGAAGCTAAGTAGTTAAATGTTATTTTGGAGCATCCCTGTTCACACCAAAAGAGGTGTTACTGTTAAATAGTTACTCTAAGTGTTATGAGCAGAACTGAAGGTTTGTTCATATTCCTGTTTAATTTATTCTGAGTGGCAATACAGGACAGAATTTTAATTTAAGTGCCTAAAATGTTACACAACCAATGCAGTACACTTGGAAACTTTCACATATATCATCAAACTTAATAGGTAGACTAGAGGGTAAGCACACTGCTTTTCTCCAGAATTGCTCTTCCCATCTCGGGTATGCCAGTGGTGTATTTGGGTGGGCACAGTGCTTGAGTAAAGTAGGGAACAGGGGACACAACCACTGTGTGAGGATTAAGCATTAGTTCAGCATTCTACTCAGAAAGCATTTCATTCTGAGTCCTTTCCAGTGTCTGTTGTTAAATGAGTGGAGAGTGCAGGAACAAAGAAGGACATGAACATGGAACAGTTTCCCTACTTCTCCAATAGCCAGCAAACCAGACTGCTATTAACAGAAAATACATTCTTCTCTTCTCTTTCATGGAGATTTTATAAATTGCTGTTGCCAGCAGTGCCAGAGATGTTTTAAAGTTGCCATTAGTTTTGCAAAATGAAAAAAGAAATCTAAATTGTACTACATCGCTAATGGATACTTTTCTTAAAGATAACTAGTAATATATTTAGCTATAATGTTCAGTTTTCCTTTGGAAGAGTTTATGTGTAGTTATGTCTAATCTCACTATAACTACAAATGCAACAAGACTGTATGAACATTGATTTCATAAATGTTGTGTTCATCGTCTCCCATTACAGATTAGCACATTTAGTACAAGTAAAAACAGACTCATGGCTGTCCTACACATGCTCACCAATTGTACTAATGTTGATTTATTAAAACATTAAACACTTAACTCAGCTATAACAGACTGCTTTTCCATTGAGAGATTTTTAAAGAAGAATGGGCATTTGAGTACATGTAATAGACCATTAAATTCCAAGCTATATATTATGATATGAAAATAGTAAATTGTGTGAGAGGAATAATATTTCATATTTGTTGGACATCTTTTCCTGGGCTCTGAAAATAGAAACGTTCATGTGGTAGATTTTTTCATTACATCAAGCTCTGGTAGTTTGTCATACTAGAAGAAATACTATCACATTCATATTTAATCCAGTGGTTGTGAATGTCTGCAAAGATGAACAATAGAAGTCATAGGAAGAAATAACAACTAAATGTGAAGTCTGTTCTCTGTCTTTATGTCAGCTCCGCTGTATGTTATCTATTAAAACTGTTATATGTATTTTGAATATGACATAACAGAGTTTGAAAGACTGTCTTGCCCTAATTTTCTTTTTCTACTTTCAGTAGATGTGTAGGAACAAACTTTTGTCCAAATGTGTTTACACTTAGGAAATCGAATGAGGCGCTCTGGAATTTAGTCCAAGTGGACAGGGCTAATTGTGTTAGTCATTAGGACTTTGTAGGAAGAACTCCCACAGAGGCTAATCAGGGAGGGTCAGCTGAAAGAGGTATCTGTGAGCTTGAAATGTAGGCCTGGAGAGAGAGAATGAAGGTGAATTCTAGATTGTGTGATTTTCTTGTAAAAGGTCATAACAGATCTATTTTAAATGTCCTGGAGTTGAAGTGTGCTATGCTCAATATTTCAGGTGATCCTATTAGATTTTGCTATGCTGCCTACTTGAAAAGTTTAGACTCCTATGAAGAACTTATACCCTCATAGCATCAGTGTAGGTTGTAGAACACTCTACCATCTGAATTTTTTCATCCTAAGGGAATGAGTAATTAGCAAACATTGAATTAAATTATGATTAACAATAATACTGCTTTGCAACAATTTACTGCTGCAAATTAAATACATAGTTTTGCACTATTTTCATAATTAGATAAATTTTCAATGTAGTTTGATTACATAAGTCTTGTTTCATTTGTTTAAACTGAGAACTTAGTCAAAATCTGTCAAACACAATAAAGCTCATGGATTTATAAGACACAGTCATTAATAAGCTGACAAATGTGATTAAAATATTTGCAATGAGACTTTTTTGTTATCTCACAGGGAGGCCCCATCAAATAAACTTTCATGCCTTTGCCCATTCCAAACTATCCAAACATTGTTCCAAACTATCTTTCTCATTGGACCTATATCAAATATTCTCTGCTTTGAACCTGCTGGTAAGTAAACCTTATATAAAAAGAAAAACTTGATAGGTAGTTTGTCCCTAATTTCCTTCCACTGAGCTAAAACATTTATTTAGCAACACTCAAAGTGCTTGATTGGCTTAGGCTAGTACATGTTAGCAAACTGAAATTTCTCCTTAGATGATTTATTGCTTTGTCTTCTAGCATCATAGAATCACCAAGGTTGGAAAATTGGAAAAGGCCTCCAAAATCATCTCGTCCAACCATCCACTTACCACCAACATTTCCCCACTAAACGTTTCTTGAACATCTCCTTGGACAGCCCATTATAGCACCTAACCTCTTTAGGAGAAGAAATTTTTCCTAATATCCAGTATTAGACTCTACTAAAGCACAAAGTCTTAGTATTGCTCACAGAAAATTCATTTATCATTCTTCTTAAGAGATTTTAAGATTTGTCATTTTTCTTTTCAATGCCTTTGCAGTAAGTAGGCCTTCCTGCAACTTTTCCTCTTACACGCAGTCCTCCTCTTACACTAAATGTTCACACCAGAATACTCTATTCAAGCATGTAATATAATGCATATACATACAGACAGAGAGTTGTATATTGGTTAGGTCCACCCCAAGGTAGCATCAGGAACACATGGCCAAACTAGCGGGAGAGGTAAAGGACAGCAGAATGAATTTAGGTCAAATTCAGTGCTGCTAAAAGACACTCTTATTTAGTTATTGGGTCTTCTGCCTGAG